AGTACAAATATAAAATTAATCTTTGCTGTTCTGAGTCATGGGAAATTTGAAGTTATTTGTGACTACAGGGATACTTAGCCTCTTCTGACAAATAGACCCTTCTTTTCACCTTCAAGACTCTTGAGCACAGACAAGCAGCAAGACTAAGAACTTTCCAGTTCCCTTGGAGTTCACTGCTATGAGATTTTTTTTTTCTCTTGCAACTTCCTGAATAAACTCTTATGTTGGCATAAAAATAATAGCCTTTGAATACCCAAGTTCAGAGTGTGCTGAGCTCTTTCCAAGTGGCATAATTGAGGTTTGGCACTTTCGTCCAGAGCACAGCAATTCTCTATCTGCATAAAAGTCAGCTGTTATCTTCTTTCCAAAGCCATCAAATCCCAAAATAGCATGAGTCTGGATGGAGGAGGCTAATATCTTCTTGGCAGAGCCCAGTGTCAGGTTTCAAGGGCACCATTTAACGTCCAGCTGCCTGAAGGACATAACCTAGTCTGTGTCTGAAAGGCGCAAAGACTTACCCAATTTTATTTTATAGGAACTAATCAAACTGAAGTCATGTTATGACACCAACTCAGTGAAAGGAAATTAACATTGACTGAGCACCTTCAAGTGCCAAGCATTTTAAGTCTTATTTAATCATCAAAAACCACCTTGTGTGTTAGATATTATTAGTGTAGCAGACAAATCATTCCAAGAAAATAGATGCAAATTGAGTGAATAGTTGACCCAGGTCATGGTAAAGATTCTAGATTCAAAGCCCAGAGCTTAGGATTTCTTTTAAGGTGTTCTTTTGACTCCACCATAGTCTTAATTGTGATACTTCCCTAAACTGAGAGTTACATTGCCTCTTAGTGTGATACCAATGCTGAAGGGAGAAAAAGATGGGAAAAGACGAGATAAAAACGAAGAAAAACGCCACCTTTGAAGGGCTAGTGATATAAAGTGATCGACCTACAACAACAGAGGCAGCTTAATTAATGTGATGTGATAAATTCATCCATCTTTCTTCATTTCCCAAGCATTACCCAGGGAGATTTGGAGATGCAATCCCAGCCACCACCTTAAAGGGCTCAGAGTGGAGAACCCAGGGTGTAAGAGAATCCCTCAAGTGGGCGTGTCAAGGAGGATAGGTGAGTTCTTTCCACTGAGTCAGCCAAGGCTTTGAAAGACAAGTGGCCGACCACCAGGCAAAAAGCATTCAGGCCTCTGGTGCAGAATAAGCAGAGGCCCAGAGGTCAAGACTGTGGATTCTCTCCTGGAGAGGAAAGGGGGCTTCTGGATGAACATGACCAGTCAACTGAGCCCTGATGAATGACAGAAGCAGCCCTGAGGCCAGGGTAGAAACCTGCACAGCGAAGCTTCTTGAGGCAGCTGATGCAGTTGGCATGCAGGAGGGCGCAGCTGAAAATGAAACCAGAAGACAAAGGTTGGGGTGCTCCTTGGGGCCCTTGGTTTGCCAAGAAAGTGGAAGTCTTTCCTATAAGCAATAGGCACCTGATGATACAATGTTTTTACATTTGTATGTGTATGTGTGTGTGTGTGTGCGCGCGCGCGTGTAAAAAATATTTAAATGGAGCTTGGTGCATTATAAGTCCTCAGCGTTAGCTGTCCTTCTTTTAAATTATTATCTTAATCAGCCTGTGCTGCTCTAAGAAATACCAAAACTCGAGTGGCTTACCAATAATAAAAATTTATTTCTCACAGTTCTGGAGCCTAAAAGTTTGCAATCAAGCTGCCAAGTACAGCTGGGGTCTGCAGAGGACCCTCTCCCTCATTTTTCAAGAACTAGCTTCTCACTGCATCATCACATGAGGGAGAGGGAGAGGGAGAACAGAGCACTGTGAGCTCCTAGGTTTCTTCTCAGGAGGACATTCGCCCCACGGCGGGGGCTTCACCTTCTTGAACTCATCCTTGATCTCCTGAAGGTCTCACCTGCAAATACTGTCAAATTGGGGACTAAGGGTTTAACATGAATTGGGGGACATACAAACATTTAGTCCAGAAGAATTATCTTTATTAAAGAAAGAATTGAGAGAAGGAAACAATGTGGTCATGTTTGCAATTTAGGAAGGTCTCCTGGCAGGCAGCATGTAGGAGATCACAAGTGAAGCATCTTTTCCCACTCTGGTGGTGACTACTCAGTGGCAGGTTAGATCTGGGCTCCCCCTCTGCATACTTTCTGGGGATCACCGGCTTACACTGGCATTCGATGCTGGGTTTCTTGAGGCCAGAGGTTGGGCTGATCTCTGTGTCCTCCACATTGCCTGGTGGAGAGGGCAGCTAATGGAACATTGATATGAATGGAAATGTCTACTGGTGCCTGTCATAGCTAGCGTCCACCCCACGGCGGGAGCCTTCCTCTGTCTATTCCATCTTCAAGAGCCTTATCATCAAATCTGGCCTGGCCCTAGCCTTCTGATGTCATGTTTCAAAGGTTCCTTCTGGGACTGTGGGTGGTAAGTATGGTGTCCATGTGCTCCTCACTTCCCAGAACCATCCATATCCCAGCTTCCAGTTTCTTCACCCTTGCCTTGAAATTGACGACAAATGAAATTTGCAAGCCCATCTAGGAAAATTACCTCAGCGCCCAAGTCATTTCCTGGGTGAGGTGTTTTTGGGTTTTTTTCCAAATTCCCTGGGCCACTGGTAAGCCATTTTTACCCATGTAAATGGATGAGAGACAATGTCACAGCACAGTAAAATCTTCGTGTCTAATGACTGACTCAAATTTCTCTGACCTTGGTTCCCTTTTGGAACCTGACATGTCAGATCACTGGGGCTTGTCTCAGACCTTCTGTCACTTGAGGCCAGGGACAGCTGGACAGCTCAGGGAAGTAGAAATTGATTTCTAGCATTATCGTGTGAGGCTGTACATCCTAGTCATGGCTCAGATGGATCACTTGGCCATTCATTAATTTGAACCCATTTCTAGAGCTCTTATGGTAAACAAGCCCGTGCTGGATTCTGAGGACACCAAGATAAGGAAGGCCTGTGCCCTTTTCCAGAGGAAGCTGAGCATTACGCTGACTGTAACATAAGGCATCTCTGCGTAAGATCTGCATCACCCACATCAATGAGAGTGCTGGGGAGCAGGGGGTTGGAGGAGGAGATAAAGAACATGCATAACCACATGGCAATGATGCAATTAATGCAATATTGACAGCAGTGAAAGCCTTAAGGAAAAATATATACAATGGAAGCATATATTATATATAACCAGCATATCTGATATCAATGTATGTATATGTAATTTATGCATATATTATACATATACCTGTTTATACCTGCACACAGTAGGCATACATAGGCATACACAGGCACAGATAGATAGATCCTATAAGTAAGTTATTACTGTAAATGTTCCCATAAATTAACTCATTTAATTCTCACAATGTTGCCATGAAATATGCTCCGTTTATCATTGTCCCTATTTTACAGATGAGGAAATTGAAGCTTAGAATGTTAAGCAATGTGTTCACAATCTTAGCAAGTTGTTGAGTAAGAATCTGAATGAGGCAGGATATTTACCAAGGCTTTGTATTAAATTCTATGCCAGAAACTGCAAAGGGGTTCACAGTAGACTCTCCCCAGCTGAGGAGGCTGTGTTTGCATGGAGGCATTGAGCCACAAGAAGAAATACTCTGAACAAGTCCTTTGAGTTGGGGCTTGAAGACTACCCTCAAAGGGTGGCAAATAGAGGTACAGACACACAGATGGTGGCTGTTGTCGCCGAAGGGGAAGCACTCAGTGTGGGCCGTTTGGATGCTCCAGGCTGCCCATTCATCTTGGTAGTAAAGGACATGGCCTCTGAGATGCCATCTTGTTTGGCCCAGACCTGAGGGGCATCGTCTCCTCCTTGAAGAACTGACCGCTGAAAATAAAGGCACTAAGCACCTATCCCAGGTCCCTGCTGATGTGAAATAAGCCATCCATACATTGACAGTCCCACTATGCTCATGACTTCTGTGAATTGGGAACCGGGAAGGATATAGAGGAAGCAACTTTCTCTACTCTACAATATCTGGGCCCCAGCTGGAAGTCTCAAAGGCTAGAGTAACTGGGAAAGTGGAAGCGTGAGTCTCAGAATGTCTCCTTACCTCATGACTGGGACTGATGCTCTCTGCAGTGAGAACACCCACGTGCAGCCAGTCCTCGCTGCTGCCCATGCTTCCTCAACACGTGGTGGCCAGGTATTATGCACTGTCTTTCCACCAGAACCGGATGGTGGCCACATTGCCTTTGATGACCTGGCCTCTGAGTCATAAGCACACCCAGACTCAAGGGCAGGAAACCCTCAGTTAAATCAAATGTGTCAAGGCCATATGGAAGGAAGGGCGTGCAGGATAGGAGACGTTACTGTGGCCATCTTTGGAAAATACAATCTCTCACACCTTCTGTTTAGGAGTCAGCTGTGTCAGCCTCTCACCATGGAGCTCACAATAACCAGTTGGCTAACAGGCCTCATCTCGTCCCCAGGCCACCTCAGATTCCTTCTCCTATGAGACTCTGAAGGGACAAGTTTCCTCAGACCCAATTTCCCAAATAGCGTTCAAAGGTTATTATTAGACCAGGATGTGACCTCAGAATGAATTCTTTTCCAAGTTCCTCCTCAGGCTTTGTCACCAGCTCGTCCCTCTGCCCTGAACACTCTTCCATCCGATTTTTCAAGGCTGGGTTTTTCTCCATGTAGGGCTCAGTTCCACCATCACCTCTTTGGAGATGCCTTCCCACATAACCCAGGTGAAGGTGTGCACTCCATCTGCCATCTTACCTGCTGCTGTTCTGTTCCTAATATCCCTGTTGTCTGAAATTACCCAGTTCACCTGGTTAAGCTCTAGCTCTTGTACTCATCTCACTCCTCCTGCATCCCCAGAACCACGAGGGCATTGACCTCGATTTTCCTGTTCTCAGGAACCTCACTTGGTGCCTGGCCCCAAGTGACCTTCAAGAAGACATCCACTGGACAGTCACTGAGTGAGGATGTTAAAAGCAATGCCACCTCCAGAGATGCGTTTATTAGAAGGATTCCGGTTAAGGAAAACAGAGGACTTTTACAAGTATCTCAATAAAATGTAGAATTGCTTTCTTTGTCTTCATTACTTCCTAAATCTTCTCCCAAATTTTCTCCTAAAAAAAATATAAACAGAGAGAAAGTTGTGCACGATTTTGCAAAAATCCAGAAAAGGAAAATATGACTACTTTTTAAATCACCTCTCCATAGAATTTCAAGTGGTTCTACATATTCATTGTAAATTCACCTGTGAAATTATTTTTTATCATAAATGTAGCTAAAGTATATGAGAATATTTATAAAATATAATATAAAATTTCAGATTTTGCTTTAATTTATTCTTGAATACTTATTGTAATATATAATATATACAATATTTATATAAAATACAACTATATTTATATGAAATATAAATATTTTTATTATATTTCTATAAGGTATAAATAATTTATAATATTAATTTATAACATTTATGATTATATTTACATAAATATAAATTTTATGTGAATATTTGTATTTATAACCTTTTTGTATTAAATTCTTTTATTGGTACATTGTAGGTATACAACACAATTACATTTCTCATTGGGAATTGTACCTTTACATAATGCATCTTGGTTCTTATTTTGTCCCCATTCCTAGCCCTCCCTTCACCCCCTCCACCCTTACCTATTTACAAGGGCTTTATTTCCATTTTTTCATATAACATTTATGTAAGTTATAAAGATACATTATAAAAGTGTAATAAAAATGCCTTTAAAATGTTTAATTTTTCTTTTAAGTCTTATTTTTCTTAAAACTTTCATTTTTTTATGGAAAAAACTGTAATGTATGTCCCAGTGACTCAGAAGCATATAATAAGAAAAATGTAAATTTCAAAAGCACAGAATTAAATCCCATTTGAAAAATTTTAAACATAAACAAAATGAAAAGTCAAAGAGATAAACTGAATTCTATCTTCATATCCTTCACCCATATGGTCTTATTCTCTGAAGAGTATTTAACCAACATGGCAGCCTCTCAAAGGCAGATGGAAATGGACATGTGTTTTTCATCCGAAAGTTTCAGCAATGACCATCTCAAGGAAAGGGAAAGTGGCCTCTGAAATATGCTGCTGAGTCTGTCTTCCCCATGCCACCCCCTGCGTATCATACACATCACGCACGCACAGAAGCACACACACATGCACACACAAGGACATGCAAGCACACATACACCGTGCATACACGCACACATACCATGTGATATCCAGTCAGGATCAAGCAGTGCTTGTTAGCCACCTGCAGGGGCACTAACGTAGCTGCATCGGGCTTCCCAGCACTTTTTGCAGTTGTAAAATCAGACTCACCAACACAACAAAAAGGAGGTCTGCTAAGAGTCTTTTGAAAACTAGGTGCTTAATTTATATGAGACGGTGTCTAGACATTTATTTTCTGGAAATATTTAACTTGGATAGAACGTGTGGCCCCCAAGATGAATGCAGTATTGAAATATTTCACTTGAAAACTTGTGCAAGGAGACATCTGGTTGAGTGCAATGAGGTTAAACATCAAAATATTTTCCTAGGATGGAATGGTCATCCTGTTGGCGCTGTAATGGAGGACCTTGCACCCAGTCCTGCTCCTTCGCTAAGCAATCACTGCTCCTGTCATACATGCCTGGAATTACATATGCACTTATGTGAATCCATAGGTGAGAACTACAGTTTAAATGGTTATTGGGGGAGAAACCCTAGAGATAGAAATTCTGGAGATTATATACCATAGGAGCTTTACTTGACTCTAAAATTGAAGCTTTTCCTTCAGTATCATAGACCATAAGGAGAAAACAGTTTTTTCTGGAAAGGGTTAAATAGCAAATATTTAAGGTTTTGCAAGCAATACAGTGTATGGCAACTACTCAACTCTGCCACTGTAGTATGGAAACAGAAAAGACAATACATGCACAAGTGCATATGGCTATGTTCCAGAAAACTTTGTTCATAAAAACAAATGTTTGCCATCCCCGTCTTATACCAGTAGCTTTTGAATTGTTTTAACTGTGACTCAAATAAGAAATGAATTTTACACGCTCACCCAGAGCAGACTTACAGATATGTACCTCTGTGTGTGTGTGTGTACTCACAAAAGAATACCCACCTTTATAATGAGTATATACTCATAATTACTTTTTGTTCTGTCCAATTTGATTTTAAATCACTTATTAAATGCTGATAGCCACCATCTAAATTGATTTCAAGAGATCCCATAATGGGTCATAACCCCCAGTGCGCAGAACACTGCTGGCTAACTCTGTGCTTGTGGATAAAATGAATAGAATAGCATGCAAACAGCTAGGAGCAGACAAAGAATCGCTGTCCCTCTGCTAATGAATGGGAATGTTTGCCCTTGGTCTGGAGCCCCTGCTGCCTGCCTGGGTTTCACATCTCTGGAATCTGATAAAGTTGTGACCCAGTAACCACAGAGAAGAGGCACTGCTGAGAATAAAAGGTCTGGGGAAGGACCCGAGAACAGGAAGCTAGATCCTTATCTTCTTTTCAAAGGATTATGAGGGAATAAGCTTTTCTATTCAGAATGAGCCTAGTAGAATGGGCAAAATCTTTCTTTAAATGGAGCCCCAGTCAGCAAGAAAACAATGAGGAAGAACCTAGCCCTGCTGTGGCCACTGCCTCGTGGATAGCCTGGGCAAGGTGTTTTCTCCCTGAGCCTCAGTTTCCTGTCCTGCAAGCTCAGGGAACTTGGGCGAGTTTCTATTCCTCTATGAGCCTCAGATCCCCCCACCACATAGCAGAATAACAAAGTCACTTGTTTAAGAGAATTGTGGTGGTGATTAAACAAGTCACCATGCTAAAACACATAATGCCCGCTTCAACCCTTGTTCTATAACACTGGCTGGTAGACACATCTAATACCTCATGACCAGTGCTTGCCACTATTTCCCCATCTGTTTCAAAGAAGAAATGAAACGATTTCAAAAGAAAAGTTGAAAAAATAGTGTAATTTTCTTTCCTAAGTTTATATTTGTCAAATGTTAGTGTTTTACCCTATTTGCAAAAAAAAAAAAAAAATATATATATATATATATATATATATATATATATCAATTTAGGAGTAATTTGGCAACATAAAAACACTGCGCTTCTAAATAATTCAACATGCATCTCTTATTTCTTACAAAAATTACATTCTTCCATATGATATCATTTTCAGACCCAAGTCATTTAAGTTCATAAAATATTATCTAATATACATAAAATGCCCCAATAATGTCCAAAATCCACACAAGTTATCATGCACTGCATTTGGTTGTCAGTTCCTTTAGTTATATCTAATGCAGAACATTTAACCTGACATTTTACTTTCTTTTATGACGTGACACTTTTGAAGAGTCCAGGTTAGAAATGAGCAGAGTGAGCAAGACCTCTAGGAACTGGATTGAACTGGAAGTACCAGATTCAGTATTAGCAAAGGTACTCCAGAGAAACTGAACGAATAGGATGTGTGTATGCACACTTATGTATTGTGCGTGTGTGTGTGTGTGTGTGTGTGTAGAAAATGAGAGAGAGAAACATGTTTAATTATTTTAGTTCTTTACTGAAAGGACCCGGAAGCAATGATACTCCAGAAGTGACAGGCACACGTGGTACCCAATAAATTCTCCATGTTCCATGGAAAATTAGTCAGTCCTAGGTGTAGGGCAGAGAAAGGACAAGATAAATTTAGAATATTTATTGGGCCAGAGAATAAGCCAATAGTCACACATCAGAGACATATCAAAAGAACATTGGAACCATGTAGAGGAATTTCCACTGGTTGAATCAACTGGGAATTCTGAGAGAATAATGACGGTAATAATCTTTAACACACTTAACAATTATAAGGAAAAGAACCCATAAGGCTTTGACAATACAAAATAAAATTTACAATTGGGTATGGTAAAGGATGCAAGAGCTGTTCTTTGAATAGTTCTTTATTTGAAAGAGTTTCTACTAGGAAAAGAAAGACGAATATTGGGCTCGATCTATGGCCTTCAAGTTTTAATGTCATAGAATTCTTGGAAAAGAGAAAAATAGGCCATCCTCTAATACTAACAGATAAGAGCAACTTTATTTCCTCCACAGTACTAGGGAATCATTTGGTATCTTGGTCTTTCTTTCTTTTTCTATTCATTTGAGTTGGAAAACCCAACATGGAGGTTTGGCAAAAGGCATCTTTTCATTGTAAGGTATATAAAAAGATGCCAAGGTTTTCCTTAATGATTCTGTAGGAATGTGGGAATTGGCTGCCCCCTAAAACTGATAAGGCCTCAGACAGAATTCACAGGAGTAAAAGCTTTAAAGAAAAGAAGATGATGTTCCTGCTCATCTCTAGTTTTGGTAGCCTTCACTGGAAAGCTGACATCAATTCCTAGACACTGATAAACTGGGTGCTTGCAGTGACAGTTAATCTTGATTGTCAACTTCACTGGCTTGAGAGATTAGTTAAGCACACTTTTGGGTGTGTCTGGATGGGTCATGGAGCCATGACATCGGGTATTATATCTAGTCCCTGGCCCCTTCCTCTCTGGTGGTACTCCCCTGTGCTGTGCTTCCTGACCACCATGAAGTGAACAGCTGTGCTCCTCCATGCCTTTCTGACATGATGTTTCTGCCTTGGAGCCAGTGGACCATGGGTTGAACCCTCTGAAACTGTGAGCCAAAATTAAACAGCTTTTTTACGTTATGGGTGAAAAAGCTGATCTTGGCTATGGTAAAGCATCCTGATTTGGATTGAAGAGAGAGAGAAAAGTGAGGGGAAGGAAAAAAAAAACAAATTACTGAAGAATGGCTGAAAAAACTAAAGAGACTCTGATATTGATGATAGTCAGTGTTGGGTCGAGCAAGTACCAGTATTCAACATAGTGCCAGTCCTGCTAGTCCTTTGCCATGTTATGTTTCTGTTCCTCTATGAAAAGAAATAGTGGCACATACTCACGAGTTAGGTGGGCTGCCTAGGGCCCCAGAGATACCAAATGGCAGAGCTAGGATCTGAACACGACCTTTTCAAATCCAGTGTCCCTGCTCTTGCATCTTGTACACTCTTGATTTTTCTCTATATGTGGAGGTAGGTGTGCAGGT